GTCCAGTTGTTCTTGAGCAAATCCCTCAGCTTTGGTGGCCCTAATCTGTCAGCTACATGGGAGTGACGAAGAGACCTGGAAAGTCCCTTCCAGCATTGGCATTCTAGGATCTGCTTGCCTCATGGCTTGTTTCCCTAGACACCACTCCAACCACTGGTGAAACATCTGTGACTCCCCTAGCCCCAGCCCTACTTCTGACTTATAGCAAGACATGACAAACACATAAACATAAGCAAATAAGCCCTTTGAGGTGATTGCAAGTCCAACTGGGAGATGGAAGCAGGCAGTGTGTTAGCATGTGGGGTTATCTTCAGGCATGGACAGTTGAGTTGAGGCTGGGATGAAAGAACAAAAACATTTAAACAGTTTTGGGGAAGGTGTTATAGGCTAGGGACAGGGCAAATGCACAAGACCTGAAGGGCATGTGTTTGAAGAACAGAGGAGGCCAGCATGACGGGAAGTGGACAGAAGTTGGGCCATGCACCGCCGTGAAATCCACATTAAGTTCTTGGATGGGATTCCAGGGACAACATCGGTTTACACTCTGGCGAGTTTTAAGCAGGGAAGTGACCCGATTTGATTTTTTTCTCTGTGTCCTAGGGGGTGGGGCCCCAGGCCTTGCAGGCTTGGGGTGGGGCTAGGCATGGGGGTGCCCCAGCAGAGAGGACTCGGCTTCCTGTGTGGGTGGCCCATTTCTAGTCAACCCAGCAAGCTCACATCCTTCCCAGTGGCCTCTCCTGCTCCCCGGGTACGCCCGTCCGTGGTCCAGGAGAACCAGTTCTTCAGCCCAATGAGCACCTACCCAGAGTCATGCATCCACGTTTTGGAAGTAACTGGGGAGTGCCCAGTCTACATCCTGACACCTAATGACACCCGTGTGGCTCCAGTCCCAGCCACGTTCACATCTGTGGCTGCCCCATCTCAGCCTCTCCTGCAGGAATCTAATTCCTACTCCAAGATTGAGTCTGCTCAAGCCCAGAGCAGCCAGTTCTGCTTTTTTGGAGAAGAGACACTGGCTGGGGAAAATGGAGCAGGAGACCTATAGATAGTGGTTATGGCTTTCGAGTTAGCTTTTGGGGGTTGGAGGTGGGTGCCTACCACATGTAGTGGCACTCATACTCCTCTGTAATCAGCTCTATTCTCTGACTCCCCAAGACCCTCTCCTACCTTAACCTCCAGGCCACGTGAAGCCCCTGCCCACACCTTCCTGGAGCCAGGAAGATTAACGCACAGGGCTTCTTGCCCTGTGCTCCAGCACCCTTCATCCCAGAGGGGCCTGCAGGTATGGTGGTCCAAGCCCCAGAGACTAGACTCCCAACTCAGTCCTGCTCATCAGCACTCCTGACCAGCTCCCTGGGTACACAGTGTCAAGGGAAGTGGGAGTGGCTGGAAGGCTGGAGGCTGAGAGAGTTTGCAACAAATTTGCATTTTAAATTACCAATTTTCACCATCAGGCTCCTAGCATTCCCCAAGAGTCATCGGAGTGACTGATCCGGAGCCCAGGAAGGTGGGCCTGACTGGCCTGACAGTTCCTGTCCCTCAGCCTGGGAAGGCACCCTGTAGATGAGACAGCACCCAGAGCACAGGCGAAATCTTCCTCCCCAGTTCTCTCCCCAACCCTGCTTCCATCTCATTAACCCATTCCCTTCTTCCACTACCTTATACCAATCTAACTCTCCTTTCTGGATTTTCATTCTAATTCCAAACCCATGGTTGATTTCATTCCCAGCCCTGACTTCATTCTTAACAGTAACCCATTTAATCATTAAGGATTGTGTTTCCAAACACAGGCCACTAGCGGCAACATGGATGAAGCTGGAAGGGATGATGCTAAGCAGAAAATAAGTTAGAAGGAAAAAGATAAACATTGGATGGTTTTACTTTTATGTGCAATATCAAGAAACCAAACAAAAGGTCAAGAAAAAGATAAAAGTTGCAAGCTGACCATCGACCTGAGGCATACAGCACAGAAGGGGGAAGAAGGGTCAGGACAGGCGAGGGAAGAACACAAGGCGCTGTGGTGATGGTTCTGGTGGTTGGAGAACTATGGGGGCGATAGCTGAGAGGAGAGGCCAATTATTGTACAAAATGAACACTGTAAGAAAATTTAAAGTGTCATGTTTCAAGAATCTCCCAAGTACCAAGAACTGTGATGGAGATATGGGGAGGAAATCAACCCAAATGATGGACTGTTTAATTTAATAGGGAAGATGGCTTCAGTGAAAGATGTCAGTTAGCCACAGTCCGGGAGCTCTATTAATAGTTAAATTGGGCTTGGATAATTGATGAAGCAATATCATGCTAAGGTCAGAAGCGAGAGGAAGCATTAGCCAGTTTCAAGAAGTAAATTGGGGGCAGCATGTATAAAAGCCCAGGGGCTAGAAGGAGGCGACTTACTTCATGTCTTTCCTCAAGCATTCCCTTCTCAAAGAGCTCTCCCCTGGTCGTTCTAGATTGCCTCTATACTTTATATCATCCTTCTCTGCTTTAACATTTCTCTTCAGTACTTACCACTACTTAACACAGTACTTCATTTACTTGGTTATTAGGTAACATAGTTTGTTTCCCCCGCTAGAATGTAAGCTCCATGAGGGAGGGTAGGGATTCACTTTGCTTACTTTGTATTCTTAGGGCTCAGGGTCTGACAAGGTGAGGGGCCACAATGGAGGCTCAGCATGGACTGATGAGTGAATGAAGGGCACCTAATTCCAGGCAGAGGTGAACACAGGGGGAATAGGGTAGGTGCTGACCTATGAGGCAGGTCTTGGGGGGACTACATGAGTGATGATGTCATTGTCCTGAAGGCAAGAACTATTACAGGGCAACCGGAGGTGAAATGGGTAGCCTGTGTGTTCTTACACACACATTTAAATGGGACTTATAACAAGGCTTAACTGCAGGCACACACAGAAAGGTTAATAAAGAGGAAATGAAAAAACGAATAAGAAAAAGAGGGAGATAAATTGGTAAATGTGTCCTACCAATTCTGCTGAGCTGGAACCCCAATAATATGCTGCAAGCTGGTGAAAAACTAAGAGCTCCCCAAGGCCCACATGTCTGGTTATAAACAAAACCTGACTGCTTAACTCCATTCTCAGGTCCCAGCAATCTTCCCTTTGGTGGGGATGACATTATGGGATTTGTAGTCCTTGGTGTCTTGCATCTCTTTGGTCTGGGGAATGGTGGGGTCCATAAAACCTATTTATGGAGTCTGTTTAGGACATCCTTTCCCCCCAACAGAAGGAGTCACTGACAGTCTTGAAAAAGGTCATTTCATGCCCTAACTCCAACTACATCCCTATCCTTCAGCTCAACCCAAACTGCAATCTCATCCACATTCATCTTCTAGTCCTGAAGTTTCCAGAATCTTTTTCCCCATCTCAGAATCCCGGTCTCCTTTGGGCACGGTGTCACCTTCCCTTGTTGGTGAAAGAAGGGTGCCACCAGGGAGGGAGCTTCAGCAGGTGCTTCCCAGTAGGCAGGAGCTGTCCTTGGGAGGCAGAAGGACAGAAGGCAGGTCTGGGAAAGGGGACAGAATCGCAACTGTCTCCTCACTCTCCCTGGCTACCTAGCACTATCGCCTGAATGTAGGACTCCGACCCTCTCTCATAACAAATCTTGGGTCCTCTCCCATTCCCTGCACCCATCCTCATGGCTCTGGCTTCTGTGATCTTAACAGTAACCAGACCCTCACCACACCCCCTTCCCACTCAGTGTTTAATATCACAACTATAGCAAACAGACTGTTGCTCACTGACACTTGTCCCTGGGTATATATTTTATTTCTTCGTTGTATCTTCAGTGCCTAGAACAGCGCCTGAGCGTGTTCCTTGAATATCTGCTGAATGAATGAAGGCATGAAAGAATGAATGACCTGGTTCCTAACAAGCGATTCCACTGGAGCCCAGCCCTGATTACAACCTCTTCTTAGCTTCATTCTTTCAGCTTCTTGTTTTGTTTGGTTTTTCCTTGGGTTGAAGGTGAATACTTCATAAAACTGAAGGATGACATAGATATGGTGAAATGTACACCACCCAGATCAAGACACAGAACACTCCTACTTCCATACCTGCTCCCAGCCTGCACCCCCATTCCAGAAGTGCTCGCTATTCTTACTCTGCTAGGAATTACTTATGTGTGATGTTCTTGAACTTTGTATCAATGGAATGATATATCTGGCTTCTTTCACAGAACACAAAATTTGTGAGATTCATCCATTTATAATTTGTTCTTTTTCTTTCTTTTTTTTTTTTTTTTGATTGCTGGGTGGAATTCTGTGTTATGATTAAACCACAAGTTGTATATCCATTCTTTATCTCAGTTTCACTCTGTCCCCCACTTTTGCATTCAACTGCAACTCCTCCTTGCCCCCAGGAAGCAACAGATAGATGCTCCTTCTCCCATCTGTGATTACCTCTCCCCAGAATCTCCCTGTGCCTGGGGTTCCTGAACCCTGCCTTCAACACCCACCACCCTTCCTGACAGGGGCTCTGGGCCCCAGGCCCTGGGCAGAAGGATGAACTTGCCCCCTGGGGCCATACCTGCCAGCCCTATTTCAGATAGGAATGGCAGCAGGCCAAGTGGACAGTGAGCTTGTTCTGCCCCCTCCCCCTGGCCATGCCCAACCAGGCCCCTGAACTGGGCTGATAACCTGTTGCCCATGGCCCTACTTAGCAGGGGTGCCAGGGCTGCCCTGGGGGCGGGCAGAGGGAAAGAGCTTATTAGGGTGATAAAGATCTGAGGGCCCCACCCAATGCCCCCTCCCCCAACTTCCCTGGGGCCCTGGCCCAGGCTGGACTGGCCGCCCCACCCTGAAGCCTCTTTCAACTGAGGCATCTTCCATCCGCCCTCTCAGAGGCAGGCCCAGAGCCCTGCCTGCTGTTCCTCCCCGTCAGCTCTCAGAGGGCTGGCCGTGCTGCTCGCTCACAACTAGTTCTCTCCACCCAGTCCAGCGTGCCCAGCTACCTGCAAGGGCAGAAGCTTCTCCAGGTGCCGGACAGCCTCATTGCTCCACCGTGGGAGACCGGACCTTTCCATTCCTCTCTGTGGCCAGATTCTCCTGCCTGCCTTGGGCCCCTGTGTGGCCCCCCACCGTGTCTGCGATTGAGCCCCAGCTTCTGCCTCCTGAAAAGCAACCATGGCCACCTACAAAGTCAAGGTGGCCACGGGGACTGATCTCTTATCGGGAACAATGGACTCCATCTCACTGACCATCGTGGGCACCCAAGGAGAGAGCCAAAAGCAGCTGCTGGACCACTTTGGAAGAGACTTTGCCACCGGGGCGGTGAGTGTGTGTGTGCGTGTGCATGTGAGTGTGTGTGGGGCATGTGAACACATGTGGTGGGTGTACATATGTGGGGGACACACATGTGTGGGTGCACACGTGAGCACACATGAGGGACGACACACTCGCACACATGAACATGCACACAGTGTGTGTGAGCACGAGTATACACGCGTGCAGTGTTTGCGTGTCTTTGGCATGTGTGTGCTGTAAGCGTGTGTGAGTGTGTGCAGTATGTGTGTGTCTGGGAGCGCTGGACTGATGGAGTGTGCATGGGAGGGAGCCAGAACTTCAACGGGAGAACCGGGAGTTCTGGGGGAGGCTGAAAGCAGAGGGGTGCTTGGGGTGGCTCTGGGTGCCCCCTCACCCCAGATCTGGCTCCCAACCTTCGGGACTTCCCAGAGCCCGGGCTTTCTACTGCTGTCCTTATCTGCCATCTCTTCCCTTTCCGCCTTTCCTTGTCTTGCTCCAATCCCTTTCTCACCTTCCCTCCCTTGCCCCTCTTCCTCTCTGTCACCCTCACTCCCCGCCCCTCCTACCTACCCTCTCCCACTCCATCTCTCTCTCCTTTCTCAGCCCTCTCCCACCCTGTCCTTCTCCCTTCTCCCCCATCTCGCTCTCCTTACTCACTCTTACTCCTAGGTTATGTTGCATCATAACCGACTTAAATTCACCTAGATTCTCTGTGACTTAAAGTGGCATTAGACCAGCCTGTCCAGTGGCACCTACCTGTCCTGTGATGGAAACACTTATGCCAGGCCCTCAGCCTTTAGACCTGATTTTGATTTAGATTCCGCCACTTACTAGGTGATCTTAATCGTTTATTCTATTGCATCAATCCCTACACCTTGTTTATGAGTGGGAGAAAAGGGACTGGCTGGACCACCTCTCTCCATTCTGAGATTGTAGGAGGCAGAGAAGGCCCTGTCCCCTATTTGGACCCCATTGTAGCCCACGCCTGGGTCCTGCAGCCTCAGGTCACTGCCGCGGGATGTGAGAGAGGATGGAACCTCAGGAGCTGGGGATGAGACAAGGAGGGGCTGTGGTCTGGCTCCACAGCCTCAGGAATCTGGGCCCAGAAGCCCAGGAAGGTGACTCCACAGGAGCAGGGCCTGGGTCAGGGGTTGGACTCTGCCAGCTCTGCTGATCCCATGCCCCATCCAGGTGGACGAGTACACTGTCCAGTGCCAGCAGGATCTGGGGGAGCTCATCATCATCCGCCTGCACAAGGAGCGCTTCTCCTTCTTTCCCAAGAACTCCTGGTACTGCAACTACGTGCAGATCAGTGCACCCAATGGCCGCATCTACCACTTCCCTGCCTACCAGTGGATGGACGGCTATGAGACTCTGGCGCTCCGGGAGGCTACAGGCAAGCCCTCTGCACCCTGCCCCTTGCTTCTTGGCTCTCGCTCTGGCCAGGCCTCCCCAGCTTGGTCACTCCGACTCCCAGCAAGCTCTCAGGTGCCAGCCCCACAGGGACCTTGGGGCTTCCTGCCTCTCTGATACAATCATGCTCTGTTGATGCTGCTGCCCTACAGAGTTCAGCTCAGCCTGCACCTGGAGGAATGGAGATGAAGGAGGGACAGGCCTGCTCTCAGGAGCCCAGAGTCTGCTGCACACAGGCAGGCTTTTCCTGATCTCCACAGCCCTCTCTGCCTCCTGCAGGATGCCTGGGCACTCTAAAAAGACCCCTAGGCACAGGCCCCAAGACCCTGATAGATTCGTTCTCCATGCCAAACTGTGCCTTGCACACACTCACACACCACACACACACAGACATAAGCCAGACACATGCAGACACCACACACACATAGACCATACTCTGCAGGATTCTGCTTCTACCACAGGAGGCTTTGTTTCTGTAACAGGAGGGCCCATTATCACAACTGATGATGTATTATTTCGTTTAGAGGCCTGGCTACGTCATCAGTTCTCTCTAGCTCTGAATAGGAGGGCTTGCATCTTGTTATGATGCCCATATAAGAGCAGTTTCATTGCTCCAAAGAATATCCTATCACCCCAATAGTTCTCCTAATTTCTCTCACAAGACTCACTGCTACTCTTAAATTACCCCTCCCCCACCCACTAATCCAATAAGACTCCTGTGTGCCCCAACAGGAGACGCTGTTACTCATACAGATGGTCTCAGGTTCCCAGTGGTTCACCTAATCTGTCACTTGGTTGCTCCCACAGAAAGACAGGCCCTAAGTGTCTGAGCTCAGGGGACGAAAGCTTGTTTCTGAAGCTCCTCACTCAGCTTCTTCTGGCCTCCCTCAAGGTGGATGGGAATAGAGGGGAGAGCTGAGTGGGACTAGGGCCTGGAGCTCCATCCTCCTCCAGGTGATCACCCCTCTGTCTCTCTCATTTCCCTGCTTCAGAGGCCTTTCCTTGGGAGCAGGGGGATGGTGCCTGAGGGGTAAAGAAGAGTGGAGAGGGGACAAGACAGGCCTGGGGAGGGTGTGGAGACCAAGAGAAGGGTCTCCCTCAGGATGCACAGCTTCTTCTCACTACAATAGGTCTTAGTAACATGGACTTGGGGGACAGGCAGGGTGACACTGGGTGGCCAGGCAGAAATGGGGTTGGGTGGAGCAGCTGCTATGCAATACCAGGGCAAGGACACTGAGTCACCTGCTGGGCCCTTGAAGGAGTGAGGCTCCCACCCTGGGGATGAAGCTGAGCTGGGTCTCTGGGTCACGTGACCCCAGGGGTACCATTCACCCAGAGCACACCAGCTGAGGCAAACAGAGGACCGGGAGGGTGGTAAGGAGGACCTGGAAGGAAAATGGTGGCACTGCAGAATTGTGCTTGCCAAGCTGGGATGACCAGGCCGAGATGCGAGAGAAAGACAGACCTGGATTTGGATTTCAGCTGGACATATAAGCACAATTCCAAGTCCTTCTAAGCCTTATAGGCCTCAATGCCCTCATCATAAACTGGGTTAATATCAGACCTGCTTCAGGTTGATGTGAGAGTCCACTAGATAAGCTCTGTAAGGAGTTGTGAAAAAGCTCAGCAGCAGTTGGTATGGGTGGGTGCGTGGTCAGAAGCAGACTGCCTGGCTAGGCAAGCCAGGCCCAGGTCAATGTTTTCTCTGCCTACTAATTTTTCTTGTAAAATGAGCAAGACCATATAGTTGGTTAGTTGAAACGATTGAGGCCCAGAGATGTTTAGAAATTCAGATTTTATTTAGAAGATGTATATATATATATACACACACACACACACACTCACAAAAAATCATTGCCTTGTAAACTGGCTGCCAATCACTGAGGCAAGGAAAGAAGGAAGTGAGTGAGGGGAAATACATTCCAGATTGGCAGGCAGCAGGTTTAATAAGAATGGAAACTTACAAGATTTATCTTGAACAGCCTGGAGAGGAGTTTCTATGCCTGTCCATCAGAATTTTGAGTTTATATAGAGACCTCAACTGGATTCAGTCACATATACTATCCAGGTGGCATGTGCCACTCCAAGGACAGGGGAGGGATGAAGAGCCCCAATTTCTGGGCCCAAGCTGTCCGTCAACCATTGGTCATGTGACTTCTTCCAGCAGAAACGCGTGTGTGTGACTTTTCTGTACGTACTCACAATGTATTATGTGCTGTAGCTCCTGGGGCACCCCTCGTCAAATATACCGATGTTTCTGTAGCAAAAACTATGAATTATTATACTGAATGTGTTAAATGAAGACTCTGCCTGGTCTCAGGTAAATTCAGGGCAGGTTTGCCTACAAAAAATTTTTGTCTAACTTGTGAAAAAGCAAACTATATCTTTTGGACTTTGGAATTGTGGAGACTGGATTGCAGGCTTACAGTAATAAGCACTTGTCTCATAAAATTGTTCTCATGTAGGTTAAATTATGAACATAATTTAAGTGTTTAGAAAGTACCCAATGCCTACTAAGTACAAGATAATGTAGTTATTAACATTTAGGTGAATCTAGAAGAGGGACCAGTGCCTCACTTGAGGGGTAGAGTGAGGGAGGAACGTGGCCCATAAACCTTTTTTGGGGGGGGAACCCCCTTCCTCAGGGTCAACCATGGGCCTACAGAACTAACTTGGGGAACAGGTGCTGAATTCTGGCTCCTGAAGTGGGCAGGGGAGGAAGGGTTTAAATAAACATATATATACATATATATGTACATATACACACATATAAGATTATTTATTTATGCATACAAGAACTGGGGTAGAGGCCAGAGGTGCAGGGAGGAGGGGGGGGGTGAGAGGATCACCAGAGAGATAGTGGGGAGCAGAACAGGCAGATATACTGAAATACACTGCTGAGGGGAGCAGCAGGTAGAACAGGAGAGTCTGCTGTGCCATGCGGGTCACCTCCTACCTGGTGTTAACCCCTTGTGGTACCAGGAAGAGCCCTGGAGGAATGGCTTTTTGGCCCTCACCAAGGGTCAAATCCAGAGCCTCCTCTTTCTTCTACCCACAGGGAAGACAACAGCCGACGACACACTCCCAATCCTCCTGGAGCACCGACAGGAAGAGATCAGAGCCAAGCAGGATTTGTACCAGTGAGTGGAGAGTGGCAGGGGCTGCAGGTGGTCATGGAGTCGGTGATGACTGCCCTCTGGGCCCTGCAATGGTGCATGGCCTCCAGGGCCCGCTGTTTTGGCTTCTCTTTGCAGCTGGAGGGTCTTCGTTCCTGGCCTGCCCAACTATGTGCACATCCCGAGTTACCGCCCCCCTGTCCGAAGAAACCCTAACCAGCCTGAGTAAGCACCTGAGGCTGCCCTGGGGCGTCTGCCATGGCTGACACCTGGGTTCTGACTCTTGTCCACCTCAGGCACCCAGGTGCCTGACCCCAGGCTTGCCCTCCTTCCCACAGGTGGAACGGCTATATTCCTGGGTTCCCGATTCTCATCAACATTAAGGCCACCAAGTTCCTGAACTCCAATCTCCGCTTCTCCTTCATCAAGACAGCTTCCTTCTTTTTCCGCCTGGGACCCAAGTGAGTGTGTGTGGGCCAGGGCTCCTGTCCCTTGGCCTCTGCTGTCCCTCAGCCCCTGCCTCTCCAAGGCCTGCATGACAGCCCGGGCTGAAATGCTGGGAAAGCTGAGGGAGCTGAAAGACAGGCCTTGAGAACCTAAGATGTGATGGAAGCTCAGCTCTAGCCATAGAGAAACCCTGAGACCCAGCTCTGCAGGCGGCACTGCAGAACTTGGCGGCCCCTCTGACACCACCCCCCCCTGCACCCCCCCCCCCAGGTCATTCGTTTTCAAAGTTCGTGGCCTATTGGACAGAAAACGGTCGTGGAAGAGACTGAAAGACATTAAGAAAATTTTCCCTATTACGAAAACTGTCATCTCTGGTAAGGGGTGGAGTACCCTGAATCAAACGGGGGGGCAACCAGCTCATCTCTTGGGCAAAGCGCCCGGCGCGTGCAGCGGCAACCAGCGCAGCTAGGAAGGTGCGCCCCCTGGCGGCCCAAGAGAGACGGCGCCCCGGCGCCCGGGCCCCTCCGGCTGCTCCGCCCAGGGTTGGGGTCTTTCTTCGCTTTCATCCCAGGTCTCTGGGGCGTCCACTGTCTTTCTCCGAGATCTCAGTCCCATGCCTTTCTATTTCCGAGGGGGACCGGGTCGTGACGACCCCGTGCTGTCCTCCTAGAGTACGTGGCCGAGCACTGGACAGAGGATAGCTTTTTTGGGTACCAGTACCTCAATGGCATCAACCCAAGCCTGCTCCGCCGCTGCACGCAGATCCCAGACAAGTTCCCCGTCACAGATGACATGGTGGCCCCGTTCCTGGGAGAGGGAACGAGCCTGCAAGAGGAGTTAGAGGTGAGGCCTGGGCACCCTACAGCCTCCTGCCTTCCTCCGGGCATCCCCTCTCTGCCCACCTCCACCGACCTGAAGAGCCCCCCCCCAACCCCCCATCTGTCCTCCCTGACTGACCCTTGAGGGGAGTGTGGGGGATGGGTAGGGAGTTCTGTACCCTAACCTGGGTCGCCTCAGGCTGGTGCCTCTGTGTCTACTCTTCACTGCTCCTCTCCAGAAGGGAAACATTTACCTGGCCGACTACCGCATCTTGGAGGGCATCCCCACTGTTGAGCTCAGTGGCCAGAAACAGCACCAGTGCGCCCCCCTCTGCCTGCTGCACTTTAGCCCGGAAGGGAACATGATGCCCATTGCCATCCAGGTGCCTGGGGTGGGGCGGGGGCTCCTGTGTGAGTGTGTGGCCAGCGCCTGAACCCCTGTACATGCATGAATGTGAGCACCGAGGTGCATGCTGGGGACCGTGTGCACTTGTGTGACACATCTGTGTGAGTGTGTAGTAGAGCATCAGGCTGTGTGTGTGTCTGAACGTTATGTACCTGTGTGTCTACCTAATCGCGGGAGCTGTATGAGCATCACATCTGTGTGTAGTAAGCAGGTGTGTCTGTGTGAGTGTGTCTGTGTACATCTGAGAATACACCGCTGTTTATGCGTGTGCCTATTTGTGTGTGCCCAGTGGTGAGCTTGGGGCGTGACCCTGTGTCTCCCTGCATGTACACATCTGTGTGCCTCTATGCCCAGACATGAACAGGGCTGCTCTTATGTATAAGCTCCTGTGTGTGGAGTGTGTATGCTGGATGTCTATGCTCAGTGGTCACCAGGAGGGAATGTGGGAGATTCAGACTTGTCTCTTTAATTGTTCATCCATCCACTTGCTAAATCGGTACCTAGGTGCTCTAGGCCAGGTCTCCTATAGAAATAACTGAATTAATCACACTTAGTTGCTGCCTTGGGAGTCTGGTCTGGCAGGAAAGGGAACTGAAGTATTTCCTTCCCGGCTGGATCATGTCCGAACTAGAAAAAGTCACCCCTCTGGGGACATTAGCCAAGCCTGATCCTCCTGGTTTGTTAGTGGGACGGTGTCGACTAGACTCAGTGCTACCCCACCCTTGCCCCATCTTGGCACCGTTGTGCAGTGCACCACCTGCACAGCTGAACGTGGTGAACTTGGAGTTGAGATGAGGAAGGATTCTTAGAGGCGGTAGCTTGTGAGCTGGTTCTTGAATGAGTGGGTGATGTGAGATACAGGGGTAGGGGAGGAAACTGTAGGCAGGGATCAGCGAGAGAAAATGTGCAGGGTGGGGGGGTTGGGGGCAGTGGGGAGGCGCTGGCATGCGCAAGAAACCAGTGGGCCTGAGAGCGGGAGGTGGCGTTACCTTCTCACACTCCCCTCTGCTTCCCTCCTGCTGCGGGGACCCTTGCATCCCTGTGTTTCTATACTCACTTACGCCTCCATCCTCCCCACATTCAGCTCAGCCAGACCCCTGGGCCTGACTGCCCCATCTTCCTGCCCAGTGACTCTGAGTGGGATTGGCTGCTGGCAAAGACATGGGTGCGCAATGCTGAGTTCTACTGCCACGAAGCCATCTCTCACCTGCTGGAGACCCACCTCATGGCCGAGGCCTTCTGTCTGGCCACGCTGAGGCAGTTTCCCATGTGCCACCCCCTCTACAAGGTACGGCATGGTGAAGGGACGGCTGTGAGGCATTGCCTCGGAAAGCCACTGGCTCACTCAGTAGTCACAGGGGTCCAGTTAGACTTGGGGGAGCAGCTAGGGACCCACAGGAGAGGGCTTGAGCAGTTCTTCCTACAGGGGGGTTCTGATTTGCAGAGATGGAGCTGTTGAGGTCCTTTGGGGGTGACTTTAATTTCCTCTCATTATCCTCCTGCTTCCTCCCACAGCTCCTCATCCCTCACACCAGATTCACCATCCAGATCAACAGCATTGGGCGAGCCCTCCTCCTCAATGAGGGGGGGCTCTCTGCTAGGGTAAGACTTCTGACCCCAGCTGCAGCAAGACATCTGCTCTCATTCTGGGCTTTGCAGTTAGACTAAACGCAGAACTTGCACTTGTGTTTCCATCACGATGGGGCATGGGGAGGGGGTTGGGCTCAAGTGGGTACTGGGTCTGGAAGGGCTCAGAGGCAGGGGCTGGGTGTGCTGGCCAGATTGTGAGAACTCCTGGGGCAGGGCTGGAGGCCTCATGGCTGAGGCCTCTGCCTGGCCATGGGGTCGCTAGACTTTGTGTGGGGCAGGTGTGGTCCTTGGGGGGAGGGGACTTGCTGGGACCCTCTCAGCTCCTGGTTCTGCCTCCTCCCTAACAGGGCACGTCCCTGGGCCTGCCGGGCTTTGCTGAGGTGATGGTGCGGGCTCTGTCAGAGATCACCTACGACAGCCTCTACCTTCCCAATGACTTCATCGAGCGTGGGGTTCAGGACCTGCCGGGATATTATTACCGAGACGACAGCTTGGCAGTGTGGGACGCGCTGGAGAGGTGTGGGGCGCGCTGGAGAGGACATGCAGCTATGGGTGGCATTCATGGTGGACACCCTGATATGTTGGGGGGTGTGGGAGCTTTTAAGGACCTGTGCCTGGGTATGGGGCCATCCAGGAACTTGGTCTTATGGACAGAGGATAAAGTCTGGTTCCTGAATGTCACACAAGTACTCACACTCAGGGTGGGGCTGGGAAGGCACAATTGGTCGTTTCTTGCTTCCTAGTCTACCTCTAATGGCCAGACCCCCAGTGGGCTCTGAGCTGCCTGTGTACCTCACCTGACCCTTGTTAGGGGACATTTCTGACCTCGCCAGACCACCTTTGACTCCCATCCCCCACAGCACTTGCCCACCTGCAGGCATGAGGCTTCTCTGGCTATGCCAAGGTCGTTGCCTTCTAGGGGAGGTGGGAAAAGCATGGCTGAGGAGGGCCCAGACTGAGGCCCTGTCCTCTGGCCAGGTATGTGACGGAGATTATCACCTACTATTACCCCTGTGACACAGCCGTGGAAAGCGACCCAGAATTGCAGTCCTGGGTGCAGGAGATATTCAAGGAGTGCCTACTGGAGCGTGAGAGCTCAGGTATGGACCCAGAGGGCCCGGGGGCTGTGGGGAGACCTTCTTGGGGGAACAGGGGCGTGTCTCCTTGTGCATTAAGGAGGCCACATCACTGCCCTAGCATTTTGACAGGGTCTTCTCTGATCCCTGGAGAAGAGAGGCAGCTCAGAGAGGATGGAGATAGAAAGACAGGACGATGGACCCTGTTTGAACTCAGGGACTATGGGTCCCTCTGCAGAGACCTGGAGTGATCCCAGTCTCCCATCCCCGAAATAAACTCCTGAAGACTGAGAAATGGGGTATGAGATCAAGTAGGAAAGGGCAGAACGTGCTGGAGACCGGGTATCTGGTGGGCAGCTGGCAGGTTCCAGGTGAATGAGGGAGGGAGAGCATCCATAGGGCGAGGGCACCCATTGAACAAATGTTCAGTGGACACTGTGATCTGGTTGCTACGAGGCAAAGGGGTGGCCCTCTCAGGCAAACACTATAGTGGGGTGAGGATCAGAGATTGGGGTTGGGTAGCAACAAACTAAGATCTATCTGAGCTCCAGCATCATGGCTAGCATCTACCAACATCTCACATTGGGGAGGTTATCAGTGAGAGGCCTCAGGCAGGTTGGGGAGTTCTGGAATGTGGAAAGGTCACAAAACCAGGGTGAGCATAGTGATTTTGGGGGCTGCACACAGGTCCAACAACTGGAGCTTAGAGTGGGAACTGGGCAGGCTCCAGATGGTGCCAAGGCTGAAGCCTTGAGCAAGGATCATAGCAGAGGCTGGTTGAGGAGTTTGGAATTACTCTTGTGCACCAGAGGGTGCCATTGAGGGAATTTGCAAAGGAGGTCAAATTTGTATGTTAGAATAGCAGATAGCATCAGCACATAGGAGACTTTTTGGGAAGCTGTTGGGCTGTCCAGGGGAGGTGACAGGGACCTGTCTTGGGTGGCAGATGTAGGGATGAAGAGAATTCCAGAACTAGGTAGCAGGTAGAAATGACAGGACTTGGTGACCAGTTTGGGTTTGGCAATGGGGGCTAGGTGGAAGTTGGGAGGGGAAAGGGTGACTTCCAGGTCACAACTAGGAGGATGTCATTCCTTGAGCTGGGAACCCTGAAGGAAGGCCAGAAAGAAGACATGTAGGGGTAATTAATGGGGGATTGTACTGAATCAGGGCAGCAAAGCCAGGGTTTCTACCCCTTGCTCCCAGGCCTGGGATGCCTCCATAAGAGAGTTGGAAAGTTAGAGGCAAGATCTTAGGGTCCCACCTGGGGCAGGTGCCTGGAGCAGACCCAGAAGGTAGTTGAGACCCCCACCCCTGAGGTAAGAGGTAGGGTGGAGTTGTGGTCACAAGAGAGCCAAGCAGACAGGAAGGGGGCAGGATGTGGCTCTAGAATATTAGCAGGACCAGGTGAGCTGGGCTTGGTCACGCCCTCTGCTGGCCAGAGCTGGGCACGAATGATGCTTCCAGGGCATTTATAGTTTCCCCTCTCCAGGCTTCCCCACGTGCTTGAAAACTGTTCCCGAGCTGATCCGATATGTCACCATTGTCATCTACACCTGCTCTGCCAAGCACGCAGCTGTCAACACAGGGCAGGTACTTGTGTTCACTGTGCCCCAAGCCTAACCCTACCCTTAGTCCGGCCTCAACCTCCAGCTCAATCTCAGCCATAATTCTTAGGCCAGCCCCCATGGGTCTCAAGTCAAGTCCCAGTTTCAATTCCAACCGCAATTTAAACCCAGGAGACCCTGGGTACTCTCTGACCCGGGACCCGTCCACTACCCCACCTCCAGCTGGAGTTCACTTCTTGGATGCCCAACTTCCCGTCATCCATGCGGAACCCACCAATGCAGACCAAAGGGCTGACGACCCAGCAGACCTTCATGGACACATTGCCAGATGTGAAGACTACGTGTATCATCCTGTTGGTGCTCTGGACCCTGAGCCGGGAGCCAGATGACAAGGTGCCCTGGGGTGTTGTGTGCTGGCTCTGAGTAGGGGGCTGAGAGCTGAGGGGGACAGGAGTGGGGGTGTCAAGGGCAGAAAGCAGGGAGAGCCTGCTGAAGGGGACGCGTGGGGGTGGGATGGGGCCTGCTCTGGCCTACCTACTGGGTTCTGTGTCTGCAGAGGCCCCTGGGCCACTTCCCCGACATCCACTTCGTGGAGGATGTCCCGAGGAGGAGCATGGAGACCCTCCGCCAGCGCCTGGCCCAGATCTCGCACAACATCCGCCAGCGCAACAAATGCCTCCCTATCCCTTACTACTACCTGGACCCGGTGCTGATTGAGAACAGCATTTCTATCTAGGATGGCCCTCCCCACCTGCCTGTTTTCCAAAAAAATCACTGCAAACACAGCCCTGGGTCTGTCAGTGCACGCAGCCTTTACTGGGGTACGGGTGCACGCATGTGCTCACACGGCAATGCTATTGTCCACGACCGCTGGGTCCAGGTAGGTGTAGGGCAGCGCCAGGCCCTGGTTCCGCTCCCGGATGGCCCCTGAGACCTGGGCCAGGCGGCTCTGGAAGGCGGCAATGCTTCGCTGTGGGGCCTCCTCGGTGAAGTGCTCATCAGGATAGGTGCCCAGCGGCCGCTGGGATTGGCAGGGGAGAAGGCTGGTAATTCACAACTGGAGATACTCCAGCCCCCTTTTCAACCCAACCTAATTCTAGCCCATCTAATAAATTTCCTTACCTGGGCATCCAGACCATTCAAGGTCTCTAGTCTGTCAGAAAAGCCACCCGAACCCTAGGGATGTGGACCCCAAGACCTATCCAACTTGAAACATTTCCCACCCACCCAAGCAAAAGATCACCCCACCAAACTATGCCCATTTTGAAACCCAGACCACTCTAAGCTCCAGCTAGTAAGAACCAGTGTTCCCCTAAACCACACCCCAGCAGACTTCATCACACCCGGGAGGCCCTCCACTAAGTGGGGTTACCCTCCCAGTAACCCCAGGACCCTTTCCTCACCTCACCCATACTCCTGGAATCTAAGCCCTCCCACTCCCACCTGGGCCTTGCTTACAGTGTCTTTCATGTCATTGCTGACACCCCAGAAGAGCACGAGGGCGTGGCACGTGGCGTTGACCTCGGGGAGTGAGGCCATCAGGTCTGCCTGGCCTTTGGCGGTAGGTGGGGGGAGCCGCATGGTGGTGGGAACATTGGGCATCCAGGCACTGAATTCAAACTGACCCCCCCCCCCACCAGACTCAGTAAGTACTGGGCTGCCAGTGTTCCTGCAAGATCCATTCCTGATGTAACTGGCTTACCCAGCAAGCCCTGCCCCCCCAACCCCCAACTGGCCCACCTGGCCACTGTTGACAGCAGCATGTTGGGCTGAGCAGTTGAAGATGATCATGGTGAGATACTCAATGAGAGCAGCACAGCTGTTTAGGGTGGAAGGGACCCCTAGGGGAGATCAGGTGGAGAGAACAGTGGTGAAACCCATGGGGCAGCTGCCCTGGGCAAGTGGGCTGTAGAGGATGGGAGGCAGGAATGACCAGTTCACCTGATTGCACGCGGCTTAGGAAGCCCTCCTGGAAGATCTCCATGGCCCAGGCCTGGAGCTCTGAGTCTCTGCTTACTGCACTGTCATCCGGGTAGTAGATGCCAACAATGTCGGACACAAAGCTAGGAATCCAGGAGTAGTTGGTGACTAGCAGTTCAGAGCTTATGCTACCCAGTTGGAAAAGGCCACTGAGATCAGCTGTTTAAGGGGAGGAAAACGAGGCCAGAGACGGAAAAGGCCAACCCCACTGAATATGAAGTGTCAAGCTGAGTTGAAGCCTGAGGCTTGCAGTCCCAGGTAGGCCTGAGACTGAGGGCCATAGTTAGTCTGCAGGTGGGATTTAATCAGCTGCCAAGGTTTTTGTTGGTTTCTTTTCCAAGTTGAATCAATGGTCAACCCTTAAATTTAGAAAATATGTTTAGATTTTGGAAAATCTTAAGATATGGCTATCGTCACAGCCGAAGCATCATCATCTCATCAGACAGTGCAAAAGCTCTACAGCCCCACTCCAGTCTTGACTGCTGCCTGCCTGCTGGGGCGACAGCCTCAGGGAAGGATTAGTCCCTCCAGGTTGGCACTGGCAGATTGGGTTCACCTCTTCCCTCCCTGTTCCCAAAGGGCCCACGGGGCTGGGTCTGCCTCCCTCATCAAGGCCTCTGCCTCCCTCCACCGTAAGGGCTCAAAGCTTGTGTATCGCCATTGCTTCAGCTATGTTCAGGACTCCAAGAGGAGGTGCATCCTGAGTGGGGCTTGGAGGGAAAACCTGGCAATATGGAGACTAGGGGGGTGAATACTGCTAACCATGAATGCCCAGGGAACACTTCCTATTCGCCTGAGGTTTGCTCTTAGGGTTTGACATTCAACCTAATAATAATAATTGGTAGGTGCTCTTACTGGCTCCATTTGGGGACGAAGAAGCAAGCTCAGATTAAGTGAACTTGCCCAAGGTCACACAGCTGAGAAAGAAGAGGCAATGTGTTTGGGAAGTGACCAAAACAAGAGAGATATAGTTAGGGTGAGGCTTGGAACCCCCAGGCCCCAGGGGAGCTTCACCTCTCTATGGCTGCCCAGATCTGGAGCCCATCATCTCGGTAGTAATAGTGCGTGAGGTCCTGAACCTCTCTGTCAGCCAGCTGGTGGGGCAGGCAGAAGGAGCGGTAGGTGACAGCTTCTAGCCCCTTGGCGATCAGCTCCAGGCTGCCCACTCGCCCCAGCGACGTTGACTGTAATGACCAGAGAGCCCTTTGCTGTCAGGAGCAGGGGGCTCAGGAGCAAACCTCAGCCCCTCCAGTCTCCCTCCGCCAGCTGCGGGGATTCCAGGCCTCCCAGGAGCCTGACCTGGTCAATGAGCTTTCCTGGTGCAAAGAGACCAGTGCGGGCCAGGATGTTGATGTGGAACGTGTAGCGGAAATGAGGAATGAGTAACTGGGGAGAACCGGAGTCAAAGGTTAGGTGGGCAGCCCCAGATCCCCCAGGGCCCTGGGTGCTGAGGGGAGGGCTTCTCCCTACCTTAAAGATGGGATGGCACATGGGCAGCTGCCTCAGCGTGGAAAGAAAAAAGCTCTCCATCACAAAATGGGTGCAAAGCAGGTGAGAGACCATCTCATGCACCAGGAACTCTGAGTGGCGCACCCAGGTCTTGGCCAGGAGCCAGTCCTCCACTGCATCACTGGGGAGGAAGATGGGGCTGTCTGGACCGGGCGTCTGAGTGAGCTGGAGTTGGGTGAACAGGGAGGGGTGGGCGTCAGGCAGAAACTGGCTGCAGAGAGTACAGCCTATCACTGCATTCATGGGCCCAAAGCACACGGTCAATTCCATGTATCTCTGGGAAAGTAGACGGCCTGTGATTGAAGGTCCTCATCTGTAAAATGAAGCTGATGGTAATAATTCCTCCTTTTAGGGGTTGTTGTGAAGACTGAGTCAGTGATGGTGAACAGTGACTTAGAACAGTGACTTCACACAGTGAGCACCCTGTTTCCTGTTGTGACCACTTCCAGCACCAGGGAGAAAAGAGGGAGTCCCTGAGAAGTGAAGGCAACCAGCCCTGGTCCTCCAGATCCCGAGCTGTATGGGGCAGGGACAGAAAGGTGGAAAGGGAGGGCGAAAGTTGCCTCCCCGAAGCGTTAAGAGTAACTTTGGGAACACCAAGTTGTCAAAAGGGCATTGCTCAGTAGAGTAGATTTTGAATGCCGAGTCAAAGTGCAACTTATCTTCTGACACTGAATATCACTGTCCTTCCACCCAGACAGATGGCAAAAGACTAAACTGAAAAACTCACAAAAAAACAAACTAAGGAAGTTTGGGAAGGATTAGGAGAACCGCGATGTTTAGCACCGGCACGGCAGCATTGGGAGGGGGCAACCTTCCAGTTATCCAAGGGGTGTGAAAGGCTCCCCCCCCCTTACTGACCTGGATGGCGAGGGGCAGCAGGGGCCCTCCAGGACATTGGCGCAGCAGGGTCAGGGGAGCAGCCACGAACTGGGGGCGCCCATTAATGATGCTGGGGCGGAGACCGGAGAGGATGGCATGATCCACCAGGTACAGGGAGCCCTTCTAGGGGAGGGGAGGTGGAGAGGAGGCTGAGGGGGCATGTCCCAGTGCCAGGGGTAGGGGCAGGGAGGGGAGTTACTCTAAACCCAAAACTATTTCACTAAAGGAACCTCATTCCCCGGAACCAGTTGGACATTCAGCCCAGAGACACCTGCAGTCCCTCCCAGGTACTGGAGCTGCACCTGCTGTGGTCAGGCCCAGCTCAAGGACAGAGAAGGAGTCCTGCCAGAGCACAGTGCATAGGCGGCAGCAGGCACTCTCTGGGGCTGGGGCACATCTCATCCTAATAGCCCACAGAGGGAGAGATCAGCTGACCAGCTCTCAGGCATCCTCAGTAACCACGACAAACAAGCCTCAGAGCTGTGCTATCCTGCCAAATGCACCAATCCTTGCCAAGGAGCAGGAGAGAGCCTTCCCCACCCAGCCCTGCTCCCTCAGCCCTTGCTGGGGCAGAACACGGTCCCTGCGTGCAGTGATGAGCTGGAGACTGTGACTCAGAGAAGAGGCTGAGGTGGCTGAAAAGGAGACTCCAAGAGAGGGAGGGGATGACGGGTAGCCAGGGAGGGTGGAAGGGACATGGCACCTGGAGGACCTGGAGCCTGGGCACCTGGGGGCAGGAGGGACAGGAAAGGAGGCTGGGACTCTGGAGGCTGGGACCCTTGGCCCCTCACCTCCAGCTCAGCCTGCAGGCATGTCCCGGGGCCGAGCACCGGGGCCACCATGGCGTCCGTGACAGGGAAGTTCTTTGGAAGGCAGTGACAGCGGCGGATCAGGACCGGGTTGAGGCCATTCAGGAACTGGGAGGCAAAGAAGGCGTCCTCCTGCCAGTGCTCGAACACGTACTCTGCGGGGGTGGGTGTGGGAGGGTCACCTTGGTCTCTAGGGCCCAAGTCCCTGCCTAGACAAGTGCACTGTTCTGAGGGCTCACACCTCCAGCTTCTCACCAGGGTCACTTCCTGATGCGCCCCTTCTCCCACCCCAACTGGTTGGATGACTTTACCGATGAGTGGACGAGTGGTTTCTTGATGAGTGGTTTCTCAGAAAACAAGGGATTAGAAGTTTAGTTCTCCTAAACTTCTAGAGTCACTGACTCTGAGAGAGTCAGAGTCACTGACTCTGCTGCCCCACCCATTTTCCAGAGGAAGTGTCAAGTTCTCTGTGTTGAGCAAAGACTGAATCTAGGGTTCTAGTCGAACTTGTGAAAATCAGAAGACTGAGGAATGCTGGCTACCACACAGGCCCTCCTTCCTGGCCTTTACTCTTGGGGGGTGGGGTCCCTCTAATT